CCAGTCCCCCCCATGCCAGCCCCCCGTGGCAGCCTGGCCAGGGCACCCACCGGTCGTAGGCGCAGTTGGTGTCGGCCACGGTGGTGTCGGCGCTGTCGGGGATGAGCCACTCGCAGGCGCGGAGCGAGCGCAGGCGGATGGACGGCCACTGGGAGCTGGGCACGTAGGAGCAGTCAGCGTTGAAATCACCCAGGAAGATCATGTCCTGCAGGGCACAGCACTGAGTCCCTGTCCCTTTAGGGAGCAAGGGCTCCCTAAAATCTTAAGGGGTACAACCCCCCTGAGGTGACCCAGTGTGCAGGGAGAAGCCCCCAGTAATGGCAGGAGGGCCATCCAGCAGCTCCCTGCCTGAAAACTGCTGGGGTGGCACCTGCTCTGATGGGTACAAGAGGCCTCCTGTGGGACATGCCAAGCTCCCCAACGCTGCTTACGTTGGTCCCCCACTTGTTGATGACATCGTAGTAGACATCGTAGAGCGCATCGATCTCCTGTGCTGCGTGGCTGGGCTCCGAATGCAGAGGCACCAACACGAACTCCTGCACCTCTGCAGGACAGCTGACCATCAGCCCCTGAGAACAGGAGCCCCAGGAAACCACCCCAGGCCAAGCTCCAGCTACTGGCCAGGAAAAGCAGTTGAAGGGAAAGGGTGTGTTGAGTTTGGTGCTCTGCCTGTCCCTCAGACTGGAAATTCCAGTGGGGAGCTGCATGCCTTTGTGCATTGTTTGGGGTTTGCTGCTTGTTTCCCATTAGCATTTGCAAGCCAGTATGGTTTTGGGCAGGAGATGGGATAGTGTGTGTGCCCTGAGGAGGTTCTCAGGAGGTGCAGGTGGTGGCAGGGGGTAGGCAGTGGAACAAACTGGGAAATGGGACATGATGGGAGATATAAGGGATGGGGGATGACAGGTGATAGGAGATGGTACATGATGGGAGATGGCACCCAGCCAGAGGAAGCAGAGAGTGGTATATGGCACAAGATGGGACATAGCACGTAATGGGATGTAGGACACAATGGGAAGCAGCTGGAGAGGTGAGATGGCACACAACTGGAGAGAACTCATGGTGGGAGATGACAGGTGATGGGAGATAAGAGATGGCACATAATGGGAAACAACAGGGGTTACTGGCCATGCTGGGCAGGGACATAGGAACCCTGGGCACCCACGGGTGGGACCCTGGTGGGGGCTTGCAACTCCCCTATGCTTGGCAGGCACAGCTCTGGGCTCAGCCCTGCGTGGAGGGGACCCTGTGCCAGGTGTGGGCATCCCCCAAGGTCGGCTCTGCTCACGTGTGGTGGGTGAGGAGAACTTCACAATGAAGGGCTCCCTGCTGAAGGTGTCATTCCCACAGGGTTCGCAGCCATCATCGTAGTAGTAGCTTCCCAGCACGGAGACCATGTCTGCCCTGAGAGAGGAGAGCAGGGCAGCCCCCAGCACTGCTCCTGCCACAGCCAGGGCCCCCAAGGGTACCCATCCCCTTTGGGGGTTGCTGGGGAGGGCAGCAGGTGACAGCTGGCAGCATCCCTTACCTGTAGATGAAGAGGTACTGCTCCTTGTAGGTGCCCCGACCCAGGGGGACGCTGACCAAAAAGTCGTATGGGTGCTCCCCAGCACTGGGAACAAGTTGTGGAGAGGGTGAGAGGAGGCTCCTGGTGCTTCCCAGCATCCACCAGGCTCTCTCCAGCTGAGCCAGAGGTGCCCTGGTGTGGCTGGAATCCCCCCCAGAATCCCCTTTGCAGTCACTCCCACAGCAAGCCCTTGGGGTCACCTGTTGAGCTGGTCCATGAGGTGATTCACGGCACTCAGGTCGGCATCCCGCACCTCCTGCACCACAACGATGTCGTACTCCGACAGGATCTGCGGGACAAGCTCAGAGCTGCTCTCCCCTGGCCAGGAGCTGCTCTGGGGGCTCCTGTGGTTGCCTGTTCTGGGCTGCAAAGGCTCCCAGGCTGGCAGTGGAAGGGCAGCAGGGACCTCAGGGCCAGGGAGGGGGGCCCCTGTGTTGGTGTGCTCTGCCTTGGAAGGGCCCTGTCTGTCCACCAGCCGCTGTCCAGCAGCTGCTCCAAGGGAGGAACCTGGGCAGCCTCAAATCCACCCACCTTGACTGGGGACCAGCGAGGGTGGAGATGGCCTGAGGTGGGAGATGGTGATGGGGGAAGAGCAGGTGAAGGTAGGTGAAGGGATGGATGGATGAGGGATGGATAGATGGATGAGGGCTGAGTGATGGATGGATGATGAAGGCCTGGAGGGAGGGAGGGATGGATGGATGGATGGATGGATGGATGGATGGATGGATGGATGGATGGATGGATGGATGGAGCAGGTGTCCCACTGCCCAAGCTGGCTGCATCCCCAAGAGCAGAGCGGGTCCAGGCCTGCTCCTCCCCTCTACTCACAGAGACGATGATATTTGCGATGGTCTGGTTGGACATCTTGGCGTCCCCAAACGCTTTGATGTTGAAGGCACCAATCTTCAGCGTGGTGGCCACGTGCAGCAGGAGAGCTGCGACCAGCAGCGACAGCGCCAGCCTCGAGGATGCCATCCTGTGCAGAGGTGCAGGAGGGGCTCAGCCCTCCTGGCTGGGAGGGGGATTTGGGGCACACAACAGGGATGACCAGGGTATTCCCACTGGCTGTACTGGTTTCACTGGGAGGCATCTGTTTTCTAAAGGGACCACCAGGATGCAGGGATTGCGCACCTCTGTTGCATGGGGCCTCATCCTACCTGTCCCTCCTGGAAGCAGGCAAGGTCACTCACAAGGCTAGAGTGGAAAATTCCCTGGCCAGCAAGTAAATGCCTTTTCATGGTGACACAGAGCAGTCACTTCCTCATTCTCCATGAGGAACAGCTCAGCCTGGACACCTCTTGTGGCCTGGGATTGGTAGCAGTGGCCAGGGACCCCAAAATCCCTTGGCTTGTGCCTCTCCCACCTTTCTCTGGATCAGTGCCAGAGGCCCCAAAGACCAAAGACAGCAGCTGTGCTGGGACAGAGCACAGGATAGATCCTCCCTGACACCCCTCCCCACCCTCCTCACTGCCTGCAGCATCCTCACCTGGGGTAACCTGCCCCTCCCCTGCCCCCATCCCCCAGCAGAGCCCCTGCCCCATCCTCACCCCGCTGGCTCCCTCAGGACCCTCTGCAAAGGCAGTGCTGCAGCTCCCACCCACGGGGAAGGCGTTTGGGAAGTGTTTCCCATGGCACTCGACTGCCTTGGGGTAATGTTTCACCAGCGTGTGGGATCTGAGCCCTGAGCCCTGCCCAAGCCTGGGCTCCTGAGCACCTGAACTCACCCAGAGCCTGATAAACGGCCTGAGAGGATGGCAAGTGCTCCAGCTTTTGGCACACCAAATCTGAGCCTGAGGAAGGATTTTCCTTCTGGGGCAGCTGCTCTAGTTAAATCCTCACTTTTCCCATTCGCACTCCCTCTCCAAACTCTTCCCTCTAACACCACAGTCCCCTCTGTTGATAACGCAGCCATTTGGCAATGCCATGATTTGGACATGCCAAAAATTGCCCAAAGCCTCATAAAACCTCTCCACTCCTCTGAACCTCCCAGGCAGAGGCACCTACAAGGAGCATATTCACCCCCGAGCTGCGCCCGGGTTTGGCCCAGCAGAGCACTGTGGTAGAATTGAGCTGGAGGAGGCGACACTGTCCAGGGAAGCTCCTGGGGGTGCAGGAAGAGAGGAGAGAGCAGGACCTACCTTTGGTGTCGTCCAAGGACTCTGGAAGGGGAAGGATCTGCACCTGCATTTATGGAGAGGGACACTCTCTCCTTGCCAGGTGGTTGCCCAGCCAAGGATCACGTGAGGCCGCAGGCTCCATATGGCATTTTTCACGGAAGCAAAGGTCTGCTCAGTGAAAAAAGAACTCTTTCAACCTCTGCCAATGCCTCCCACCACAGGTAAGGCCGAGAAGGGATTAAAATGCCAACAAGAGCTCTGCAAGGTGGAATGAATGTCAGAGATCTCTTGTGGGGATCAGCAGCTTCCCAATACATGGCATGGGCAACTCTCACTCATCACCAGACACAAATTCTCTTAAAAAGTGTTTATTTCACCAACACGAACCATTCCCATCCAGCACCCCACATTTCCAACAAGCTGTGAGTGTGCTGGGGCCAGCAGGAGCCATGCCAGTGCGGTCCTTGGGTGTGAAGCCAAAAGTCCCAAAAGAACGACAAATCCCTGCCATGGTGCCCATGCCCAGACCCTCCCCAGGCTGTCACCTGCCTCAGCTCTGTCCTGGGAGGGCCGTGCAGTGCCGGGGGGTGGCAGCCCTCCACCCCAGCTCACACAGCGCTGTCCAGCGGCCTTGCTGATGTCCCTGCCTGCAGAGGCAGCTGCCGTGTTTCCCAGGAGAGCCCCTGCAGTGATCCTGAGGGCTGGGGGACATGCCAGCCTCTCCCCTGGAGCCAGGCACCCTCCAGGGCAGGGGTGCTGCCCACAGTGGCATCAGGGCTGGACCTAGGTACCCCCACCAGGCTGCCCAGGCTGGACACAGCGCCAGGTTTCCCCAGCCAAACCCTCCAGGTCAATCCCGCTTCAGGCCAGGAACCCTCCAGGGGACCCAGGACCAAAACCCTCCTGAGCCAAGGTCCCCCAGACCTCACCCAGGCTAAGACCCGCTCTAAGCAGAGTGCCAGGGCTTAACACCACTTCTGGGCCAAGACCCCACAAAGGTCAGACCCCTTTCATGCCATCACCCTCAGGGCCAGCACTGCCCCCAGGGCCGGTATCCCCTCACGCCCAGAGCCCTCCATGCTGAGACCCTTGACTCAACCCCAGCACCAGCACCCGGGGCCAAGACGCCCCTCAGGGCCAGGCTCCCCCCAGGGTTGGGACCGCCTGTCCGAGTGCCCCGTGTCCGGCTGTCCCCGTGTCCGGCTGTCCCCCGCCCATCCCCGGGCCCGGTCCCCTCACGGCCGAGCCCCCGTTACCCCCGCCAGGGGGCGCTGCGGGCGGCGGCGGCGCGCGACCGTTTTTGTCCTGGCCGGGCCGCCGTAGCGGCCGCCCGTCCGCGCCGCCGAGGGGAGGCCGCGCCGAGCGGGGCCGGGAGCGGAGCGGGGCCATGAGCGACATCCGGCACTCGCTGCTGCGGCGCGACGCGCTGAGCGCCGCCAAGGAGGTGCTCTACCACCTGGACATCTACTTCAGCAGCCAGCTGCAGAACTCGCCGCTGCCGCTCGTGGACAAGGGCCCCACGGAGCTGCTGGAGGAGTTCCTCTTCCAGGTCCCCAAGGAGCGCGGAGCGCCGCCCAAGGTGCGGCTCGGACACGCGGGACGGGCCCGGGCCGCGCGGGGGACGGCAGGCCCGGGAGCTCAGCACGGGATCCCTGCTGCAGCCCGAGGCCTCAGAACCGGACAGGCCCCTCCGGAGCGGGCCGGGGGCTCGGATGGACAGGGCTGGGTCCCCGGGGCTCTGCTGCTGAGGGCTCAGAGGGGCAGGGCTGGCTCCCCGGGGCTCTGCTGCTGAGGGCTCAGAGGGGCAGGGCTGGCTCCCCGGGGCTCTGCTGCTGGGGGTGAGCCCCCAGGATGACAGCACGGGGTCCCTGGGGTGCTGGTGACTGAGGGTTTTTGGCAGGGACGGGGCTGCTGGCCAGTCCCTGATGGGTTGCCCAGGACTGCGGGGCCCTGGGGACTGCCCGCAGCCCCTGAGTGCTGCAGCTGGGCCCTGCCAGGGTTTTTGGGTGGTTTGGGGTGCAGCTGGGGCTCAGAGATGAGCAGTGAGGAGCCACAGCTGCTGGTGAGTGCTGGGGCACGTGGCCCTGCAGCCCTCAGTGCTGCCAGCTCTGCCCCAGCTGCCCTGCAGTGTCCTCAGTGCTGGTATTTGCAGAGAGAGGAAATATTCCCCCCCCAGCAATGTAACCTCTTCTCTCACTTGGTGGGCAGCACTTGCAGGTGCAGCAAGCACCAGCTTTGGGTATCCAGGTGTGCAGATAAACCTGGAGCTGTCAGTGTCACCACAGAAATGCCCTGGTGCTTCAGGAAGCTTGAATGTTTGCTGTGCATAAAGATCGGGTCCCTCAGCCCAAAGGGAAGCTCTCAGCCTTTACTGCTCCTGTCTTTTTACTTGGTTTGTGGTCCTTCAGGAGGCTCAGTGTATTTTACAGCTTTGCTTTTGTTTTCTTTCAGAGACTGACCCCACTTCAGGAACTTCAGCTCCTTGAGATCATGTGCAATTATTTCCAAGAGCAGACCAAGGATTCAGTCCGGCAGGTCATCTTTTCATCTCTCTTCAGCCCCCAGGGGAACAAAGCAGATGACAGCAGGATGGCTCTGCTGGGGAAGCTGGTCTCCATGGCAGTGGCTGTCTGCAGGGTTCCTGTGCTGGACTGTGCTGCCTTCTGGCTGCAGGTACAGCTCCTGTGCAGGCAGGGTGCCTGGGGGAAGGGTCAGGGCGAGCTCCAGGGTGGCACAATGAGCTGGGCACAGTCAGCTGCTGCTCCCTGGCAGTTTCAGCTGCCCCCATGTCTGTGCTCGTGCCCATTCCTGTGCTCTGGCATCAGGGAGAGCTTTGCCAATCCATTCATGTGCTGCAATGGAAGAAAAAAAATATTTGGGTGGTTTGTTTTTACTGTCAGTGAAAGTTTTAATAATCCCCCCCAAACCCTGCATATTGAAAGGGCTCAGTGGAGGGTTTGACCAAAGCAGGGAGCAAACCTTGGTCACATTGCCTGAAGAAGCTGACTCTGGAGTTTGGGAAATAAACCCTTCCTGATGTGCAGGTTTGGGTGTGGAAGAGGCACAAAATACCTGTGTCTGTCTTCTGTGGATGCAGGAGGTTGGAGATCTCCTCTGTCTTCTCCTTTCCCACTGAGATTCCCCACTGTGGGCTTTGGGATGTGCACCTTTGTTCCTGCTGCCCTTGTGGGATGTGCAGGAGTCACAGCTGACGCCGGGGCAAGGTGTATTTTTATTTCAGATGGCAGCTTTTGAGTGATGTGAGGATTCCACAGAATATTTTCCACATCAAAAATATCAGGCATGGCAGCTGAACCAGTTGCTCTGGGACTGGAGCAGCTGAACTACAGAATGGTTTGTGATGGAAGGGACCTTAAAGCTCATCCCATTCCACTGTCCCAGGTTGCTGCAAGCTGTGCCAGTGTGGCCTTGAACACTTCCAGATCAGGCTGCAGAGGCCACAGCTTCTCTGGGCAGCTTGTGCCAGGCCTCACTGCCCTCACAGGGAAGGAGGGTTGCAGAAGTAGTAAAACAATAAAATCTCTAAAGGTTTCAGTTTTAAGCCCCAGATACCATAAACTCGAGATGTCCCATCTATTTTGGTACTGCAATACAGTGGTTTGTTTCTGTGAGAGTGGTGTTTGATGTGCTGAGGGAGAGCAGCCACGGCAGTGCAGTGCCAGTGGGGCAGGAGGGCACCCAGCCCGTGGGGCAGGCTGTGGCAGTGTGACCTGGTGTCCCCTGTGCTGTCCCTGCAGAGGACCCCAGCTGTGTTCTGTGTGAGGCTGGCCCGAGCCCTGGTGGATGACTACTGCAACCTGGTGCCAGGCTCCATCCAGACCCTGAAGCAGATCTTCACTGCCAGCCCTCGCTTCTGCTGCCAGTTCATCACTTCAGTCACAGCTCTCTACGACCTCTCCTCGGGTAAAAGTGCATCTTTTCCAGGGAGAGTGCAGTGAAATGCACCAGGAATTAACTGTTGCAAGAGATGTAACTGCTCGAATCCTAAAGAGGTGTTACCATGTAATTATTGCCAGGGGAAGCTCAGGGGTGTGGCTGTTGCCTCATCTGGCATTGGGGTGAGAATAAAAATAACCACTCTGTGGCTGACTTAGTTTGGGTTGGAATGGACCTTAAAGCTCAGCTTATTCCACCCCCTGCCATGGGCAGGGACACCTTCCACTAGACCAGGTTGCTCCAAGCCCTGTCCAGCCTGGCCTTGGACACTTCCAGGGATTTGGAGCCCACAGCCTCTCTGGGAAGCAGGGAAGAGTCTTTGCTGGAGAAGCAGCCAGGAACATCTGACACAAAGGGCGTTGTCCCCCACAGAGGGCAAAGGACATGGGACCTTGTTGACTGAGCAGCTCTGGGAGTGAAAGTTGATCTGTCTGGGCTCAGTCAGCCCTGAGAGAGACTCAGGGCTGCCTGTCAGTCTGATCCCGTCCAAAAAGGGGAGAAACAAGTTCTGAATGTTGGCAGGCTGGAGCAGGATTTCTCTGTGGAGCAGTGGTGAGAAACACAATCATAACTCCAGTGCACTCCTTAACTGTGTGTGTGACCTGCCAGGGGTACAGCCTGCCTCAGCTTGTTGCTCAGACACTTGTAGGTGTCTAAAATAAGATTGATTTAGCTCTATTCAGCCACAGAAAGCTCCTGGCAGACCAGAGAACAGCCATACACTAAGTACCAACACCACCTCTAATCCAGAAAAGCAAATGCTATTATTGATAAAGGAAATGCTTTGCACATTCTTCTCCAGATAAATATCTTGGCATTACTGAGAGTACAAGAGAGGTTCAGGCTTAATCTTTATGTTGTTTTTATAAAGTATTTGGTAGAGCTTAGAGCATATTTTATATCCCAACATCATTGCAGAAAGACATGTCAGAAAGGAAATAACTTGAGTCATAGGAAGTAATTTTTTAATTCCTTAGTTTATTTGAGATGTTTTTGGTGACACAAGGAAAAAGGAGCTTGCTCTTCCAATCCAACACCCCCCTGTGACAGGATGATGTGTCAGGGTTTTTCTTGTCTGCAGTCAAGTTCATGACCATCTTTCACTTCTCACCTGAAGCTTTACATAATCTTATAATCCTTTATATGTCATGTAATTGTGTTGTTGCATTGTGTTTTTCCACAAGACATGGTTGTTTAGGTAAGTAAGTATTAAAAGAAATGAGTTCAGTTATTGGCACTTCCTTCTCTTCAGCCAACAAGCTTTTCCTATTTCCCTTTCCCATTGTACTTCCTGTGGGATAAAGGAGACTTAAATTAGGGAAAAATGAGCAGGTGATGTGTGGCAGAGAAGAAAATGACAAGAGAATCTTTGCTGGGGAAGGGGATAACTATCAGTGTTTGGTGGTGTCTTTGGAATAGGTGGGGAAGGTGACAGGAACATGGCTGTGTCTTCCCTGGAACAAATTACCTTTGGTGTCTTGGGAAGAACAGCAGAACTGGGGAGGTTCAGAAGTTGTAATTGGGACAGTGTAGGATGGGTGTGTGTGAGAGACTAATTAGAACCTGAAGTAAAGTAACAAATAAAGTAATAAAGGCTCAGCTTACCCAGCATTAACTCCATCTCCAGATGACCTGATCCCTCCCTCGGACCTGCTGGAGCTGATTGTCTCGTGGATCTTTGAGGACCCTCGCCTGATCCTCATCACCTTCCTGAACACCCCCATTGCAGCCAGCCTGCCCATGGGCTTCCTGGAGCTCACCCCGCTCACCGGCCTCATCCGCTGGTGCGTCAAGGCTCCCCTGGCCTACAAGAGGAAGAAGAAGGCCTCTCTCTCCAATGGACACGCTCCCAACAAAATTGCCAAGGACTCGCCTTCAGGAGAAGACAGGGATTGCCACCAGCTGTATTCCAAGCTGCATCTGAGTGTCCTGCAGGTTCTTATGATGCTCCAGGGGCATTTGACAGAGAAAAACCTTTATGGGCGCCTGGGGCTGGTGCCCTTTGACCACGTGGTTCCCCTGGTGGAGGACATTAACAGACTGTCTGATGAACTCAATCCTCTCAATGCATCCAAAGAGATTGAACTTGCTCTGGACAGGCTGGCTCAGGCTTTGCAAGTGGCCATGGCATCAGGAGCTCTCCTGTGCACCAGAGGTGAGTTGTCTGTGGGGCTGCCGGAGACCTGGCAGGGGATTCTTCTCCTCCAGAAGTTGTAAGAGGCAGTTTTGGGGTGAGGGAAGTAAAGATCAGGGTGTTCACAGCATATAAAGTAGGTTTTTCCCCTGTTAGAAAGTGACAGTGCACAAAATAGTTCAGGAAAAATAGCTGGCTGGAGAGTAAGAAAGGAGAGATCACTGCTGTGGGTGGGTGAGGCGTTGCTTTGCAGAGTGGGGACTGATCCACAGCCCTGCTCTGTGCACCAGGGGGTTGTATCTGGGTGTCTGGCATGGGGACACTTTGTTCCCCTCAGAATTGCCTGTAGCTATTTCAAAAGCACTGTTTGATTTTCTTCAGTTTAATTCTCTCAGTTTGCCTGCCGAGGAGAGGCCATGAAGCACATAAACCCCTGGGTGGGTGTGCTAGACAAAGAATTTGAAAAGCAAATAATACCTCTTCAACTGAAACTTCTGGGAGTTCAGCTCACCTCTAATGAGACCCCATTACAGGGTGTCCAAGTTCAGCTGAACTCAGTAAAAAAGGGCTGCTAACGTGGCTTTTGTCTGGCTTTCCTGTCTCCAAAGCCACTTCTTCCCAAAAGACATGCGGAGAGATAAAAGGGAAGTGGCCCAACACAGGGCAGGGTCAGCCACACACACTCTTTTCCTGTGATATTCTCTTGAAACCAGACAATTTTAGGTTATGCCAGAGGGCTTGAAGCTCTCCAACAGCTGGGGCATTAAGTGCAGACCACAACTGTCTCTGCCTGAGCAGGGATCTGATGCTTTTGTCCTGGCTGAACCAGTGCTGCTGGCCAATTTTCAATGTTCTTCTTCCTCATCTTTGTATAAAGTAACTCTGAGTGTTATAAGCACAAAGAGAAATCAGAGGTTTTTGATCTGAGGGCTGATTTCTGCTGTGTTTGTTCTTGGCTGGAACATTCTGAGCACTTGCTCTTTCTGTGGAAGGTAATTCAGTGTAATTTCAGGATATTTCAGTGGGGTTGTGTGTGTCAGCAGGAGCTCATTCTTAAGCTGTTCCCAAAAACACTTTGTCAAGGGGATATGTTGTTAGATTCCTTGGTTCTAGTATTCTGCTTTAGCAGAAGTTTGGAGATGTTAAAAAACATGCAATTTCTTGATAGATTCCAGCAAGAAAACCCAACCCATACTTTACAGCAGCAGTGGTTAAAAAACCCAAAACCAACACAAACCAGGTACTGGGCAGGGTCACACCTTGTGCTTCCTGTGTCTCAGTTACTTCTTGTTGGTGTGTTGGTATTGCAAAACCCATCCTAAGGCTTCTCTGTCTTAATGTCAAACATCAATAACAATAAAGGGGCTGGTGGGGAGAGCTGCTGAAATGGAGAAACATTTTCTCTCCTGTAAAGGTTTTGTGCCTGAGAGAGGGATTCTGGATTTCCTGATGATGACAGGTTACTGACAGATTCAGTAATCAGTAATTAATCAGTAAAATTAATTATTATTCAATAATCTGACCTTCCTAGAAAGGACAGCAGAGAGAAAACCAATCTGTTTTATTCTGTTTCTGTTTTATTCTGTTTTATTCTGGTTTTTATTCTGGTTTTTTTTTTCTATTTCTGTTTTATTCTTATTTTTAATGTTGTATCTTCTTTCAGATGACTTGAGGACTGTGTGCTCCAGGCTACCACATAACAAGTAAGAGACTTTTTGCAGCTATGTTGGCTTTGATGCATGTTCCGAGACACTTGAGGGCTGCTGAGACAAAATTTCCCCTAAAAATTTGTCCTTGTGGAATTTGGCCTTTGTTCATGTGCACTTTAGCATGAGGATGAGGGTGAGACAGTGCTGGCTGGTTCTTCCCTGGATTCCTGCCAGAGAGGAGCTTCAGTGCTCCCACCTGTGGGTGTTAGAACAAAACCACAGGACAATGAAGTCCCAGCAAGGAACCTGCCCTTAAATTGTCCCATCTCTAATTCCCCACTGGTTTTACCTCACTCTAAGCTCTTGCCTTGCCAATTGCTTTTTGCAAAAAGAGCAGGGCTTTAAAAAAATGGGGGGAAGGGAGGAGAAAATTCCCCTGAAGCTGTAGAGAAGAGAACTGTGTCACTGACTTTGTCCACTGCTCTCCTGGCGCTGCGAGCTGGGTGTGACCCGTCCCTGGAGCCAGGACCAGCAGCTCTAACACATCCCTGCTGTGTTTGTCCCGCAGCCTGCTGCAGCTGGTGATGTCGGGCCCGGTGCAGCAGCCGGCGCACGGGGCGCTGCCGCCGGGCTTCTACCCGCACATCCACACGCCGCCGCTGGGCTACCCCGCGCTGCCCGCGCACCCCGTGCAGACCTTCCTGCCCGCCGTGCCCTTCCCCTACCGGCCCATCCGCTAGCCCAGCCCGCCGGCAGAGCCCACACACAGCCGGGAATCGCCTTTCCCTGCTCGGAGCAGAGCCCAGCGGGATGCAGACCCCGGGCAAAGCCGGGGCACGGCAGCGGGAGACGTCAGCTCCAGACTCTGCAGTGTCCTCGCAGCAGGGTGAGCCCGGCTCATCCTCCTGAGGGAGGGCCACAAGGCAAGGCCTTGTGTGATTTGTTTGTTTTTTTTTTCCGAGCTATTCCACTCCAGGCTGCTTGTTTCTTTGTAAATGTTTGTATCTATAGCTACAGAGTATGTGTACACTGTATATTTTTGGAAAGGCAAACGTTTGTTTCTGAAGCACAAGGTAGAGTAAAGCAGCACTTCCTATTAAAGGAAACAATTTAAGAAGCATAAAAGAAATTTGCTGCTTTCTTTTGTGAACAATGTCAAACAGTTGGATTTTTCTAAAGGTCCAATTTGTCAGACCTGTGCTGGGCTGGGGACAAAACCCACCTGGGGCTGCAGTGACCCATTGACCTCCCTGCTGGGGAAATGCCCTGTACACACCTCACCCGGTGCCTCTTGAGGATTTGGGGTGAGATTTGGGGTGTTTTGTTAATGCTGGCTGGAAAACTGGCCACAGGCTGGCAGTGCTGTGCTGGCCAGCTCCGAGTGCAGCACGGAGTGCATGGAATCACCCTGGGAAGGTGCCAGAGGTGGTGTCAGCCCCTCTGCTGTCCTGCTGTGCTTCTCTGAGGGCTGCAGGATGAAAAAGCAGGAAAAAAGGGGCTCTTCCTACACTTCAGAGAGGTGACAATGACCTCTGCTGCTGTCCTGTGAGGAGATGTGGCACCTGTGGTTCCAACTGGCTGCAACAAAAAGGACAAATGAAGGTGGGAAAATCTGATGTAAATGGAACAGCTGGCAAGAAGACTGTGGAAGGGGAAGGTTAATAATAATCACGGAGCAGGTAGGGTTGGAAGGGACCTCTGGAGCTCCCCCAGTCCAGCCTCCAGTTCAGCTGAAGCCACAATAAAAACAGACCTTTAACTTTTGGTCAGGCTGTTGGACGGGGCAATCCTTGCAGGTGCTTTCCGACTGAAATATCCTGCCTCACCTCGCCTTTTAGCGCCTCGACAACAAGGAAAAACCCTTAAGAACGCCTAACTTGTGGATTAGAACCAGGAATGGCATCAAGCGCTTACACTGTGACAGTTCTGCCTCCTGTCCCTGAAGGGCTGAGGGAGGCTTCCGGCCGGGTGACCAGCCCCACCTCCTGCTCCCCAAGCGCCTGCGCTCAAGGACCCTCCCCTAATTACCTCCCCTAATTACCTCCCCTAATTACCGGCCGCCCTCCCCGCGCGGCGCCGCCCACGTGGCCTCAGGGGACCGCCGCGCCTCTGCGCGCATGCGCGGCGCCCGTGGCCACGTGCCCCGCGGGCAGCCAATGGGACGGCGCGTTACTGCGCGGTGCGCGGTTGAGGAAGTGCCGCCGCTGTCCGTGCCCGGCGCTCCCCGTCCGGTTCCGCCGCCCGGGATGTGCTGAGGGCGCGTCCGCCGCCCCTCCCAGGTGAGCGGGGAAGAGCTTGGGGGGCGTCTCTGTGCTGGGGAAGGGGGCTGGCGTTGTCATGGCGATTTCTCCCGGGCCGGGCCCGGCGCGGTTGCCATGGCAACCCGGCCCAGTCCGGGCCCTGGGGCCGTGCTCCGTCCGTCCCGGTAACGGGGAGTTGGGCGCCATTGGCATCGCTTGTGTCCGTCTCCGTGTCCTGCTCCTTCGCGGCGGGTTCCCCGGGGAAGGCCGGAACGCCGCGCGGGCCGGGCCCGGTGCTCCCTCAGGCAGTTCGGGCCCGGTGCTCCCGCTCGTTCGTGGCCGTGCGGGCCCCGGCCCGGCGGTGCCCAGCCCGGAGCTGTACCGGGTCTCGGGCGCTCCCTCTCGGTCACGGGCGCCCGGCGATCTCCGTGTCCCGCGGCCCGAGTGTTTATTTACGGCGCCGGGGTCGGTTTGAGCTCGGCGCTCTGTGCCGGTTTTCCCCGGTTTTGCAGTCCCAGCCCGCTCTGGGCGATCTTGCCGAGCTCCTGACCCTTGGCCACGTTTCCTTCCCTGTCTCATTCACAGACGCAGAGGCATCAAACACCTGCAGCAGCTCAGAGCAGCTCCTTTCAGGTGGATCTTGCCCCTCTCTGTTTGTTCTGCTGGTTCCTCCTTGCTGCTGGGCCACAGCTGTGCTCACTGTGAGCGTGGCTGCTTCTCCCCCTTGCTGTGCTCAACAAAGTTTGCATTCCTTCAAGCTCCAGTCCCTTTTCTTATCCACCAGCTTATAGTCTACTTGGTTTTTGGCATTGTGGGAGCTTTCTGCAGCTGCCAGTAGCTTTAGATTTCACCATCCTGGGGGTCTGTGCCCTGTCCCAAAGGATCTTCAGCACTTTTGCATTTCTGCCCCTCTCCTCTTCCAGCCAGTTGTTATGAACCTGCTGAATGGACTCTCTTTTCACTATGGATTCATCCTAAATGATTTTAATCTAATTTATTCCTGTAATTAATTTCTTTTAATCTGCCTCACACTCTCCTTAGTCCAGGTTAGTATCCTCAGAAGTCTTTATGGAGGACCCTTGGGAGCATTTTGGGAGCACTAGAGCATGGTGTGTTTTCAGATTATCCAGTTGTCTGTTGGAATAAACTCTACCAGGCATCTCACAAGTGAGGTGAAAAAGAAAATAAACTACAAGAAAACCCCAAAACCCAGCTGCTGGGTCTGTCCAGTGTGTGGTAATTAACGTGAGAGCTCATTTATACAACAAACTGAGCAGCCTCATCCCCCTCAGCAGCACTGACAGGCACCAGGCTTTTAAAGCAGAAGGTTTTCTCTGGCAGGTTAAAAAGTAATTGTTACACCTTGTAACCTGCTCTAAGTAGTGCTTCCACACCTGGTGGCAAAGGAGGAGCCATTTGTTCTGGTGCTGGGACAATATATTTTTGCTCTTTGAAGCTGCTGCTGTTTCTCTCAGCAGATTGTTTGATGTGCTTAGGGCAAATTGGCTTCTGGTGTCTGACTCCTCTGAAGGGGCTGTGCTGTGAATGCCTCTGAAAACCCGTGGCATTCTTCATTTTCACTTCTTTTCCCAAGCCAGTGTCAGCCATCCTGACTCCTGCTGTCCACACTGGAGCTGGGTGTGGTGAAACGTTGTGGGAGCTGCCGTGAATTCAGAGAATGCTCTTTGCCAAAGAGCCATAACAGAGCACGTGCACTTATTTTCATTACCAAAGCCTGGTGTTATTTCTTTGCCAGTAAGGCTGATCTTTATTTGCATGTGGGGATGGGGTTTTTTGGGGTGTTCTGAGTACAGGGGCTGGGCCACTGTGGTCTGTGAGTCAGTGCTGGGCTCAGAGCTGATTTGAGCTGCTCCTGCCACCCCAAAAGCCACCCCTCATTTCATTTCCTGCCTCCTTTGCACTCTGTGGCCCCACCCCAGGCACTCCCGGTGCAATTCACGGGTGAGAGGTGAGGCTGAGCCTGCCGGGGCTGACTCAGGGTGCAGCACTGCTGTGAGTACCTGAGCAATGGCAGGGCCAGCTCAGGCCCCTCCTGGCAGGGCTGAGTCACAAATCCTGCAGCTCTGCCTTCCTGCTGCTCCCAGCTGCTGGGCTGGGCAGGATTCCCTTCCCTGACGTGTTCAGGTGCTTTTAAAGAACCGATTGCTGCTCAGAGTGACAGCAGAAAGGATCTGCCTTAGATCTGCACCTTGTCTGCAAGCTGGAAGCCAGGTGCTCTCCAAAGCCTTTCTCAGTGGGATCACTCCTCCCTTCCTGGGTTTAACCTGTCACAGCAGCCCTGGGGCTTCAGTGTTGCTAAAAGAGTCCTTTGGAGCTTCGTGTTTCACTCTGTCCCCCCACTCACCTTCCACTCTGCAGAGAGGCAGGAACAGGGGCTGCTCCGTTTGCCAACATCAACTTTTAATAAAGTTTTTAATTTCTGCTTCTCAACTTATTGCTGTGGCTGTCAGAGCAGACAGCTGTGCCAGAATCCATTTGAAATGTTGTTATTTTAGAACAGCAGCAGTGGAGTTTTTGAGTTGAACCTGAGAGTCTCATGCCAAAGGAAAGGAAAAAGGAAAGGAGAAAGGAAAGGAAAAAGGAAGCAGTTTTGGCTCACATTTTAAAGTTGGGATCTTGGAGAAGTGTTAACTTTGGGGCACTCGTCTTACAACTGAGGAAGGAATGTTCTTTTCAAGCATTTACAAAATGTATTTTATTTTAAGGCCCCTTGTTTGCAGCAACCTCTGGACGGTTGTGTTGGTGTCTCCTGTGAGGGTGTAGGTGGAGGGGCTGGGTTTTGTCGATGCTGCTCCATAATGAGGACAGTGTGTAGGAAATGGAGGCAGCCTCAAATTCCCTTCCCCAGGGGTTTGTAGGCTGCATTTCTTGCTGTGTTTTCAGTCACTACATTTTCTGTGTGGCTGTTTATTCCAATTCAGAAAGGGCAGCAGGCCTGCAGGTGTGATGGATTGCTTGGGGATTGTTTTTTGGGTTTTTTTTGCAGGAAGAGGAAACTTGCTGTGTATTAAATCTCCCCTCCAGGCAGGATCTTGTTGCCAGTGTGCCTCTTTTGTGACCCTTGGGTTTGAACTCCCCACTGTGCCACTGTCACAAAGCAGATTTTCCCTTCCTCGTCTTAACAAGAAAAGATTTAACAGCAAAACCTTCTTAGAGATTCTTGTTTGCCATTCCCCAGAGGAATTGCTGTATCTGGGGCAGCAGGAAGCCAGGCCTTGTGCAGTGTGCTTTAGAGACACTTCCTTTGGGGCCTGTGAAATGCACGGCTCCAGTAATGTTTCCAGAGCTGTAAGGTGAAAGAACAGCCCAGAAAGTGACCCACACACAAAACATTAATGATTTCTGCTGCTGGAAGTCTGACAAGTCCAGCTCCGAGTGTGCAGAAGATCAGGGGTATAAAAGGATTTTCACTAACAGTAAGTGTTCTTTATTTCTAATAAATAACCACTGCTTGCTACACAGGTAGAAGTACATTTTGCCTTCTCACCTTTTAATATCCTTGTGGGGACTGTTTCAAATCCTGATCCTTCATGGCAGGAGGCCAAGGTGTCAGTGACAGTGATGCTGGGTGTTTGGCTTGGAGGCTTGCAGTGCTGTGGTGTGCACACCTCGATGAGGGCAGAGTGGAAAATTGTGTGGAGCTCTAGACAAGGCACAAATCTGTTCTTGGAACAGTGTTTTCAGAATTTCAGAGCTGAGGGAAAATAGTCTGAACCATCTAGGGTGAGTCTTCAGGAGGAGGGCTGAGTGCCAGGATGGTTTTCCCAGGCTGTGGGTGACAGTGCTGCCTTCCTGGCTGTCAGAGTTCAACGAGCTCTGGCCAAGCTCTTGTAGCTGTTCCACACGAGGAGGGTGTAAAATCCACTGACTTGTTTGGTGTATTTGGTGTTAGGTGGGAGTCTGCTTGATCAGCAACATGCTGAAATCACAGCAGAAGCTGAGCACAGGGATGGCAGTGTATGGATGGATCCAAATCCAGGTGCCTCTTCCTGGTCTCTGTGTGCTCGGGAAGGAGTAGACAATTTGAAGCCTGCTTTGCTTCCTTCAAAATTTACCTTTTTAAAGTAAATTTGTAAAGTAAAATTATCCAGTTGTTACACTTTGGGCTCAGCTGTGTGTATGCTCCTGCCATGTTGGTGTAGCCCTCTCAGGAAGCTGTGATTATTAATTGGCTCAGGACACCTGACAATTCAGTGGTGCAGATGTCTCATCTCAGCCCAAGGTTACCCCACAGCCTCCTGGGGCTGAGGTGAGCTCAGCTTTCCTTACACCACCTTCTTCCCCGAGCTCACTGGGTGTTGCCCTCCTCCACTGTGGGTGCTAGTCAAGCACACTGCCCTGGATGGATTTACTGGACAAGAAAGTCCAGGCACTGACAAACTCCTTTCTCCAGAGTGATCCCATGAGTGCTTGGGATGTGCTCTGGGGCAGATGGGATCCACATGGCAGGGCTGGATTAACCTGGTGTGTTCCTCATGTGGCAGCCAGGGGAGCTGTGCCAGGGCAGGTGGTTGAGAGGGCATTTCTGCACAGAAAGAAGCTGCTGTTGAAGGAATTGAAATATTGGGGAGCTCCAATATTGAGCTAGTGCACACCCCTGAGTGACCTGGGGCCCACGAGGGGCTCAGTGCTTTTGATTCTGGTAGGAAAGGCAGAGAAACATGGATCAAAAGGTGTTCTGGGCTGTTGTGAAGTCACATAATCAGGGCCTGCTTCCACCCATGGTACTGTGCCTTTTTCAGACCAAGGCACAGAATCAGTCATTTTGTCCCAGATTCCTCATTAAGAATCTCTCTCACTCCAAGGTTCTGCTGGTGCAGGGAGGGAAGTGCTGGCAGTTCAGGCAGCACTCCTGTGGGATGGGCTGTGTACAGGATGGAGGTGGAACAGCCAGGGTTCAGTGTGTGACCCTGGGCTCTGGGGGTTTGCTTAACGAAGCAGGAATGAGGGGAGCTCTGCCTTGTGGGGTCTGTGTGCTGCCTGTCCCAAATGAACCCGTGTGGCACTCCTAGAAGGAG